AAAGTCATCACTAGGTGTGAACGGGGGTGTATATTTAACCATGGAGGAATTAGCCTCCATGATTATACTTTCATTGATAAATGAGAAACAGTATTCTACAATTCTTTAGATGAAAATTGTACATACAGCACAGTATCAATATTAGAATGTACTTTTATACATTTTGATAAACTATATTAGGGAGTTTCGCAAGTTTACAAAAATGATAACGAACACGGTAATACATTTTTAGACAACACTTCCAATACAGTAGCGTATCTCTCACAACGTAAGCGATTCATGCATTTTGCATGAATCAAGGATCATATCTCGTACAGGTTGTCAAGAATGTTTTGGGCACGAATGATGATAATCGAATACTTCGTTATCATTGAATGATAATGAAGTATTCGAATTCGTATTCGTTATGTTGTCAAATCTCCCTATTAATCCTCAGGCACTGTTACGTCATCTTATCGTAATTTTAAACATTCACTTTTCAGTACAGTGTGAGCATTGAAGTATTTTTTTAAATAATTTAATGCGAAATGGGATTCTGAAATTCTTTTAATGGAAGTCCTACAGAATGTTGCAATAAAATACTTTTGATACTTTGAAGTTAAGATATTTTTTATGTAGAAAACATTAACCTACGGACCTCACACTTGACTGATAACTTCCCCTTAATATTACAAATTCACTTAGGCCTACCAGTACAATGTAACCAGGGAAGAACTTGTTTTTTTTTTAAAGAATTATGTTCTAAAATGCATTTAACATGAAATACCATTAACATGAGGATTAATTTGCATCTAATAAATTGACTTTTGTTTCTCCTTCCTGGAAATAAACAGAGTAAAACAATTGCACTGAACACTGTAGCGATTTTCAGGAAAACAGGCTTCGCGCACAAATAATAATAAAAAAAAATATAATAAATAATAATAATAAATTAATAATTAATTAATTAATTAATTAATAATTAGCAGCCATTGTAGTACGTGCAATTATAAAGTGCTGTATGAGTTATTTGGCAGAGTATACAATTTTTATAAGGAAAAGTTTAATAGCTAAATTTGCTCTCTTAAGCGCACGCTATCTATTAAATTAGCACCCCTTTCAGTAAGGGATAATAAAAAAAGTCCCAGTTTTTAAAATAAGATAAGATAAGGTTATGATTAACTGCCATAAAACAAACAAATAACGTACTGGTCTCGTATTTATAGTTTATTCAGTATATTATGTAAATGTATGTAAGATAATATAAAAGATAACTATCTAACATAACGGTTTACTTTAAGTGTGTGTAGTACATTGTGTAGTACTTCGTAATGATGTTCATAAACAGAAGTCCCAGTAAACAAACCGTGGGCAAGGTCTATGTAAACTTGCTGATACAAACATCAGGTACATATAAGATGCTACTGTTAGGTCATGTCAGTATAACTATTGATTTTTTGGCTTAGTCCCGACGGGTTTAAAGCCCATTAGATTCTCAAACACAGTTCAAAGTCAACCTGGGTAGGCTTGCCTGACGACGCAGATGCAAGTAAAACTTCAGCCTATAATAGAAGTATTTTAGAGACATGTGGACTTTTCCTAATCCTGGTGAGTAGCCTAGGATCTGGGCCTAGGTGTTATAGAGTAGTTTCCAAATTTAAGTTTTAATTACCTTTGACGGAGATGAACAGTATACGGTCTTGCCTTGGGCAGGCTCAGTTTTATTGGCGATGTGTTGACTAGCGAAAGGGGGCTTTGTATTACGTTGCCCGTCAATGTTATTTCGACCACTTGGCTACCAAAACACAAGATGTAGCATCGTCAAAATCAATAGATGGCCCTTCTTAATAACATAATCAACAGATCGGGATAGTAAATGGTGCTGGCCTACCTAGGTCAATTTAAATGATTTTCTGCTAGTTGAGTTAAGTACAATACCACACAAGTAGGCCAATAGTGATATCGTTTCTTCACCGATTTACTAGCATCTTCGAAGCTCCTTTGTATAAGCATGTCTAATTGGTTATTAAGTGGAGTACTAATACAATATAGGCCTATTTGACAAACAAGTGTTTGTTCAGATTTGTATTAGCATTAGTTTGATCAGATGTGTCGGAAACAAACATAGGCCTAGTATCCAAACTTATTATTTACCCCTTGCCCTTTCAAACACAGTTCGTTTGACGTACATCCGACTTATGGCTGTACGCTTACGTCTGTGTATTTATAATAATCCCCCCACCCAAAAAAAAAACAAAACAAAAAAAACAAAACAAAACAAAACAAATGTTATGTAAATCATTTATATGATGACTAAATCGAACCTTGAACTTGAACGTTTGACAAGCACAACACTAATGTGCATTGGAAAAGCGTACTTTCTACAAATGGGATTTCATTGTGTTGGTCAAACATTTTTGGTATCCTCTATTTCTGTTCAAAGGGGAGTACCACATGTCAGTATGGTCTATGTCAAATATTTTGACAAAGCATATTGATAGCGATCAGCAGTACAAGTACAAATGGTACGGTGACCTCGTTTTATTGATTTCCCTTAAAACGTTTGTAAACACGAATTCTTTTTTATGGTTTCGAACTTTCAGTTCAAGCTTGCGTTGAACTTTTATGAAAGGTAGAATTGTTATAAAAGGTTTTTTTTTTTTTCTTGAACCAAGTAATAAAAACGTACAAGCGCCTGAATCCTGGGATGGCCGAGACTCAACTGGTGCTGGAAAAGGGTACATTTTGAAATATCCCTGCTCAGCGACGAGGACGTATCCTATACTGCAGTGTGGGTGCTGTCTTTGAGTTTTGTTTTTTTGTTTGTTTGGTTTTTTTTTAAATTACATCTGTTCACTTGTTTTGCACATAGAGACTCTCGTATTTGACGCGGTATAAATGAATGTCTAAATTTTAACTCTTACATAGAAACCTTTCATTAAAAAATTACCCTGAAACCAGATGATTTTTTTTATTCCTCCTGTTTATATAGTTTCACAATCTCGTTTGTAAATAGGCCTATACAACTATAGCGAGTATTTTTTTTTTTTATTGATGTATCTATTATTTTTTCCTTGTAGCATTTTATGTTGAGTATAAGAACGCTGGAAAAAAGAGTCGGAAACTATCGAGGAGAAAAACCAAGTCTGTAGCTGAAGAAACCCGGAAGCGGTCCAGCACGTATAATGCCGATGAATACGCACAATTACAGCATCATGGCCGATCAAAATCTCTGCCAACCGTCGAACAATTAAAAGTTCCAGAACCTGTTGCAGATTTTACGATGTCGCATTCAACCAGTAGCATGAACGGCAGTGTATCGTTTGAAAGTTTAAGTTCTAGAGAGGGCGGTAGTGTTGATTCGGATTACGGAGCTTTTGATATCGTGGGTGAGACGAATACTTCTCGATTTCCTTGGTTGCGTGACGTCATGACTCAATGCGAACCATTAAGAACGGTTGAGAAGAGCGTTCAGACAGACTCATTCCTGATATGTGATCACTGTGGAAGGCTAGAGATGTCCAGATGCGGAAACGTGGAACGATTTCGTAAAAACGGACTTTTCGCATTCCATCAACAAGCTGGCTTTGAATACGGCGACGTGGAATTGAGCAGCAATAGCACGCCGAAACTTCGTAGAGGTAGAATAAAACAGATGGGGTCAAGTACTGAGAATGGCCTTAATATCTACAGGTCGGATGAAACAATGTCACCACCGGTGTCACCTTGTCCCTCACCTGTGTCGGTAAGCAACTTTGTTGTTCTTTTTTATATATAGCTTTGCGTAAAACATAATGTATTTTATGTTATAAACATATGATTTACTCGTCAGGTAGTGAAAGAGCATGTGACAGTAATTATACTTGTGTACGTTTAGTTTAATGACCGATAGTACTAAATGCATTTCCAGGAAACTCATTCTTGAATATAATGGTTATCTGCGTTCAATTCTACCGTAGCACACATATGTATGAAAATGCATGTACTGTACATAATACACTATCAATTATCATTATTATATTAATATTTTTCATTTCATCATTTCAACTTATATTGCAGAACGTATACTACATTATAAATGCTAGCTTAATATTCATGTCAGTGGTACGTTTGTCCAAATGGAATAATTCAAATTTAGGGGCATGTTGCACATTTGAGCTTATTCTTCATGGCTCAGTCGGTTTTCGGAAGTCTTTAGTTCGAATTTTAGAACAATAGGTTTTTCTTTAAAAATTATTCCTTTTCTATTTAGGCCTACATATATATATTTTTTGTAAATCCCACATTAGTTTGAACGACCTTTCTTTATAACGGTTACGTTTTATACCCGCATAACTGCGAAGTGGTTTTTAGAGTTTATCTCTTAGATAGGGCTACACACACACATACATACACCTGTCTCTTATACACATCTAGATGTGTATAAGAGACAGATGCTTCGATGACTGGTGGTATTGATGATATGGTGGTGGTGGTGTTGGTGGTAGTAGTAGTAGTAGAAGTAGTAATACGATAGTATTCAATAATACTCGTAAGCCTAGTGGTATAGTAGTAGTGGTAATGGTAGAAGGTTTACTGGTAACACTACGAATACCTACCGTATGTACTACAGAGACATTGCTAATGAATCTGAAGTGAATGGGCAGACGATGTCAGTAAGCGTCGCTGGTGGAGATGAACTTAAAGTTAATTAAAAACCAATCTCTGGGCAACACACGTGTTGTAAACATCCTCTCCCTAGAGATTCAACCAATCCAAGAACGTAATCAAAAATCAGATTTGGCGGGCAATTGTAATAATTCATTGCAAGTGAGAATTGAAATGTAGAATAATTTAAATTTACGGATCACCATTAACGATACTACTTTTGATTGATAGGTGACAGATAATGTGTACGTCGGTGCTTGCAACATGAGACCGGTGCGTAATTATGTTTGTAGAATGAAACGATATTTCGGATCAAATTATTACCTTATACTACACAAGTGTTTTTATCGATACAGATAAATTTGTATTTGCCCAAGGCCATCCAAATAGGGGATCCCAAATAATTTGATATAGCCTATGTATTTTATATATATATATATATATATATATATATATATAATATAATATGTATATGTGTATATGTATGTATGATAATCAGTATTTTGATAGGCCTAGCATGATCTCCAAAAATATTCTATGGGTATTACTTAATAATAATCTTGCGTAAACTAACTGAAACTAAATCCTTTCCGAGCCAGTAGGGGCTCAGTGGGCTGGAGCTTACCCCAGCTTCCGTAGTGTGCAGCGGATGAGAGTTGTACTCACCATGGACGAAACAATAGTCCGTTGCAGTTTAGTCCCCAGCAGTTTGCTGGTACCCGGTGGACTGAAGCAATGTAGCTAAAGTGCCTTGCCCAAGGACACAAGCGAATCTGCACAGCGGAGACTCGAAACCCCGACCTTACGATTGAAAGTCCAAACCTCAACCGCTACTCCAAACTGCCGCCATAATCTCTCACGTAAACCTTCTCGCAAAATATTAATCTTCCTAACTTCACCACACACGTAATATTTCTCTTTGGTTATCTAGTAGTAGATTATTGAAATAATCGGTGGATCTCTCACATTTTAAATCTTAACGCACCAGGGAATACAACGAATGATTCAAATGGAATCGACAACCCGTAACATAGGGATTTCTGTAGTAAAAAAACACTGCTTTTATTCCTAACCGCCAGTACCGAAGTAGTTAGCTCATAAGTAAGGTGATCGGGGAATTAACTAATACGTCATTGACGTGTATTTATACCTATTGAAGATACTGTAATACCAATTTATTAAGTGCAGAGACAGCCTAAGTCTCCTTTATAGACTTGGTAACATTATTTTAGTAGACTTATTTAAAAATATCACTCACGTCAGAGCAGCATATTCTGGTCAAAATGCCGGCCAGTATTATCTTCAGCAGCTGTCCAGTTTAACTGCTAAAACTAAGTAACTCACCGCCCCCTCACCGTAAGGTGGTTGTGCAGACTATCAAAACATAGGCATATTCATATTCATGGGTCTGTGTCATAATGTATGGTATCATAAGCCCTTGCTCCCTAATTTCCCCTGCCATGGAGGTTATGTATCCCCCCCCCTTCCTGTCTGTGTATGTCTATTTAGCAAGATTAAGCAAAAACTAAGGAATGGAAGAAGCTCTTTTTGGCATCTCCTGTATCCGCCACTTTGTAATAGGCTATTCATTATGTAATACGAATCATATATATGAGTTATGGTATCTGATGAGATAATCGTACAATCTGTATAGACGGACCGTTAGGCACAAGCGCGCCCGTCGGTCTTAGGCCGACGCGATTCCACAACGCGATGACGACACGCACGCAATGTACCGTTTCTTAATGACAATGCTGTAGACGGTGCCGCATCGTCAGGGGCTCGCACAGAACGGAGATGGATTCATCGGTCGCCCCGATCGTACGACGTGCATGCCTGACTTGTCATGATTTACGCAGATTTATAACAGATTACTCACAAGTGACAAGAATAATTAATATTTGCGGATTAAACTGTGACACCTCAATCCGCGCGCAGACAAACACGTGTTCAAAAGTAGGGTCAGTGTGAGGACAAGTGCTGTATTATCTGCCTTGCGGCAAAATTGGGATTACCGCGAGTCCTAATTTCGCAATTACCTGGGATGCAATTAAACTAAACACCAGTGATTTAAATGACAGTTGAGTTTAATCTCAATTTATCTTATCATCAATAAATCTAACAAAACAATCGATTTCATACCGGTAGGAATGAAGTTCAAGGATGAAAAACTGAGGATATGTTTTTCATCCTCAAAGTTTGATCAGTTTCCGATGAGCTTGAGGTTAACATGTGTTTCGGGTTAATTTTAATAGATTTATGTTGTCGAACGACAAGTTTTACACCTTTAATTATACTTTTATAATTCCTTTAGGTAGGCGCACACTGTCTATCATGAACTAAAGAAACATGAAGAAAAGAATCAAATACATATTTGAAGTGCAACATTTTATATTTAAGTAAACTATTAAATTAAAATTTAAATATAAACAATAAACGAACAGTAAAATAGTACACTTGTTGTATTTTTTTTGCATAGACCCTTCATTGCCTGGTAATAAATTTAAGAATTATTGTAGAAAAACGTCAACGAACACTTTTTTTGTGTGTCTATTTCCCCTCAAGGGGCATAGATACTATGTTGTCGTCTGGCAGATAAATATCGCTGCAAGTGTATTTCCGGTGGAGACCCTATAAAGACCGGTGGAGGTAGATGATGGGTTATGTGTCAGGAACCTTCTTACTGTACCTTGACTTCACCAAAGTCATACCAAAAAAAAAAAAAAAAAAAACACTATACATTTCCTGATAACCTTGTCCCCATGTGGATACTTTATTAGTAAACATATTACAGTAAGGTTGGTATGCGCACAATAAGAAGCTTCTGATTTGTGCGACGACACGACGCTAGAACGAAATCACTCATGCGTGACCGTCCTACCTGGCGTCCTACGTTCTCTGCACACGTAGATTTGGCCAAATTGCGTTCCAGAATCTGCTCGACGAGGTGGACCGTAACGTTCTCGCATGCGCAGATGACTCTTAGTGACGTCATTACCTTCTACGTCCTACCGGCGTCGTGCAATCGAACGCTCCGTATTCTCTCGCTGGGAGCCTTTTAATCATTCATGTTTGAATTAGTTAATAACTTATTTGATGTGATATTTTAAGTGAGCTATTTCAAAATTGTAGTTGAATTTTTCAGGTATTTTCCGTACTTTTTGGGACCTTTATTTTAATATTGAATGTAGGCATATCTTTATTGGAAATCACACAGCATATCAAAGATTCTTATTCATTAATGTAAAACGAATCAGTAGCAATGCGAATAAGAATTTACAAAGAAATTATGCCAGATTCGTGTTTGTGTCTCCAGTTTATTGCTTAAGGATTCCTTTAATAGTTACCGTACCGTTGTTCAGAAATACCCCGTGGGTAAGGTGGGTTGGCAATTAGAAAGCTAGCCTAGGCCTACTCTTAGATTAAGAATTTAAAAAATGGCTCAAACTGTTCAACCCCCATCAAAATATATCGGATACCCCTCTTAGTAATTATGCTAGATGAGAGAAATCCCTACTGATCCTATACGTGCCTATAGAGCTCACGGACGTCATTAAGAAATACTGCTCGATAATTCTGAGAAATCAACGGGTGATTGGTTACAATAATTAATGAATCCCACAGACATAAATGACAATGTTAAATTGTCATTTGATAATCATTATGATTATTTCAGTTCGCATGGGTAATAGTGTTATTGCGATTACATTGACTATGTATTACTATCATACTTATGGGAGCATAAAAAGACATACTGTTAATACTCTCACGTTCGTTGATAATTTGGATTATGTTTTTATGTGGAAGTGTTTGTAAATTCTTTCATTTTCTAGAAATTGATAAGACGCATTACTACAGATTATCATTTAGAAAATAAGATATGCTGATTTTATACTAGTGATTCTTTTTTTTATTTTGCATCCATTGAATATGTATGGCTTGTGGGATGGCAATAATTCAATGACAACCACAATACGATCCGATTGTTTCTAAGTAAAATGGATAGCATTAGATCCGGCGATACAATTCCACTAAAATGAATTAGTGTGGAAAGAAAAGAATGGTCCACGAAAGACTTATAATCATGAATCATCACCGACTACTTGAATTTTTAAGACAAAAGACTACGAATAAATACTTAGTTATAAAACACAGAATTAGCGCCGACAGGAGACTTACTTGTTACTATTTCTGGGTCGTGTTGTCAATGTAGATCTATTTACGAGTTCGCAATGAGGAATTAACTTTAAACAAGAAAATGAAACTGCAAATCTGATTATATAACTCATTTATTGCTCTTCAATTTAAAACAACAGACCCTTTCAGAGTGTTAAATCAAACTGAACAACTGACCAATCAGGACAGAGCCAGGAGTACGCGCGCGTATTATAAACACACTTGTCACATAAATGCACGTGATTGCGTATGTTTTTTGTTGTTGTGTGGGACCGTACATGCGTCATTCATTTTCATAATTATAATTATCATTAACAATATCATACTCATTATCATTATTGTCACTTTTACTGAATTGTTATAATACATATTTTCATAATTAACATAACTATAAATGGTAATAGTGAATTAACTAACTCTTAAAATAATGCGCCTGTATTAAACGATAGACCTATACTGTAATTGCCAAAAGATATTTATTACATACATCTTAGGGCTAATTTGCATTTCTTTACAATTTTTTTTTAGAATTTTAATTTTCCAACCCAGCGAGTATCATCAAATCCAAGATTAGTTGTTACAGTGGAGTCAGATTCGGATTATTCCTACCACGAGGACACACAAAGTAAATTATTATTATTATTATTATTATTATTATTATTATTATTATTATTATTATTATTATTATTATTATTATTATTATTATTATTATTATTATTATTTATTATTATTATTATTAATGATAATATTATTATTATTATTATCAGCATGATCATCCTCTTCTTCATTATTATTGTTATCATCATCATTATCGATATTATCTCACATTTATTCACAAGTTACATATTACATCATTAGCATTAATTACTTTTATCATCATCGTCGTCGTCGCCATCATTATCATCATCATAATCATCTTATTATCATCATCATCATCTTTATAGTTACGATTATTAATATTGATGCTGTAATTATTAGCATTATTATTGTTCTATCTAATACAATAGAAAGAACATTCGTCAGTAACAAGAAGAAAGAATTATGCTTTCGTATTGTTTGAATTATTGGGTGAAATTAATAATAAGCTAATACCAATAAGTAATAACAATAATACTATTGATGATGATAATGATGATAAAAGTGATGATGATAATGATGATCATGATACCTATGGTGATGGCAACGATGATTATGACGATGATGATGATGATGATGATGGTGGTGGTGGTGGTGGTGGTGATGATGATAATGATGATGATAATGATGATGATGATGATGATGATGGTAATGATGATAATGATAATGACAATAATGATATGACTATTATTACGATTGGGATATGGACGCTCATTTGCGAGGTAGGAATTACTCTAATACCTAAAATGTTGAAAATAGCAGCAACGTGTCAACAAGTTGGATGTTTGATTAACATGGGCAAGGTTAGACCACCTTCCCCCCCCCCCCCACACCCTCTTTTGAATTCGCCTCGGGCACTTGAACCCCTCAGCAAAACAGCATAGACACGCCACTGCGTCGAACATTTGACAATAGCTAGCCAATATGCATTACTTCAACAAACGTGTATTACCATATGAAAAAAAAAAAACATGAACATATATGGACAATAAATCATAATATATGAACATTGAATATATATATATATATATATATATATAAAAATTTGCTCTTTTAGGTGATGAAATCTCTGCATTTGATAATATTGAGTTAAGGTCTTATGATTATACTTCAGAGCAAAACGTATATAGGGAGGTTAATTATAGAAATGGAATGATGATGTCATATCTATCACTATAACAACCATCCTCTGGCCGGTGGTCGTGTAGTTTCCTCTTGTTCTCTTGCAAGCATCTGATTACTTGCGGTTCCAAATGGTTTCATGTATTGTCCATCACCTTTCAACGTCTGGATACATTTCCAATTTTCTAAGTAGTTAGCTGCAAGAATGAAAGCAATGGAAGTGTAAACTTAGGACACACAACGGAAAAGGAGACAAAGTAATAATTAACGGGGTTAATCTTGTTCAAAAATGCCATGTGGTGTAGTTAACAGAACAACTGTATTTTTAGAAGTAAACGTTGCCTACCATCCAATTACATAGTTTACATAGGTTACATCAGAAGAAATGTTTTGACGTATGAATAATAAGTTCCTGAATTTGCTGCATAGACACTAAAAATACGCTATACGCTTGAACATTTAATAAAAATAATTTAACTGATTTACTATTTCAATAATTTTTTACTTTCTAAGGCGAGACTTTTTTTATTCATCGGAGGAGGGCGGAACAAAAATAAAAATAAAATTTTGTTTTCTTACTTAGCAAACAGTTGTGCCAAAAAATCTTGACGGAGGAGAAAATAAAAAATTATCTTTCAAGATTTCATGGCAGCGGAGGGCGTAATAAAAATAAAGAAAAACTTTTTTTTTTGTTGGAAATTTGCACTTTTTTGTGGCGGCGGATGCGCAAATTTGCCAAAAATAAAATTTTATTTTTATTTGAAATCATCAATATTTGCAGTCGGCAGGTTCACTAAACAAGGTATAGAAAAGCCTCGCCTAATGGAAATTTGCCTTGCACATTACCACACATTTATATAATGCAGTACCATTTCTATACCCATTTTATATAGGCCTGCTCTGAAATTTCTGCCTACGACTTTCAGGATTTAAGTAAAATGTATGCAACTTATCAAAAACTAATTTTATTTATTTTTTATTCTTTTGAATGAGCAATTGTAATGTGATGGTCACGCATTTGGTATCGTGCCTTCTCCAGAGAACTGAAAAAAAAATTATTTCCATTACACAATGAATGAAAACAATGCTGCTTCGATTAAAAGCTTTTATTATGTCCATATATGGTCACATCACACAAATTTGTTACATAAATTTGTCTGTCCTTTGTCTGTATTTTAAAGTTTGTTGGTGAAATAAATAAAATGAAATAGTGTGCAAAGTTCAAAGCTGATTATACTCTGTAAAATGAGCTATTGGATGTTTAAGTCAAATTTACAGATATATTGCAAATTTAACCTACCTTTCCATAATCTAACAAATCCATCGTCACTAGATGAAGCAAGAATAGTTCCAGTTATATTCCAACTAATCCTCCACACCTACAAGGTACAAAGATACAGACAAAATGAATTAATATCTGATTGCGTGTTCGACGAAAAACTGTTGTATGCCCATATTTAGTCATGATGTGCCTATATACGGTCATGATGTGATGTCATCATGACATCATGACCATATTTCAGACATGTTACATGTTTATTCCGAAATCTACCATTGTTTTTCACAAACACGGCTAAAAATTAGCTGCCATCTACGTAGCATTCCTGGGGAGTTTATAGAGGCTTTTTTGATGAATAAAATTTAAGTTGAGGAGGTAAATGAAATGACAGTTATAAAAGTCAAGATGCCACTGTAGGCCTAGTGTAGGTGAGCAACGGACTTTTCCGGCGCGTCAATCGAACTTAACAAATGACCAATCACAACAAGGCCAGGAATACACGCGTGTCTCGCATACAGGTTATTTCACATATGCACACGTTTGAACGTTTGGATATGTTTTTTACACTGTCGTTTGGGGTACCTTAGCAACTAGATCCAAGGGGTGGAGCTTAGCAGGGAAGTCCATCGGCAGGTTAGCCTAGGTGAGTTAAGACAGGTTAGCCTAGGTGAGTTAAGACAGGTTAGCCTAGGTGAGTTAAGACAGATTATCCTAGGTGAGTTAAGACAGGTTAGCCTAGGTGAGTTAAGACAGATTATCCTAGGTGAGTTAAGACAGGTTAGCCTAGGTGAGTTAAGACAGGT